ATTTAGTGGTAAACCACTGGAACTATGCCACAGGGTATAAAGTGCTTCATGTGAATCAATGGTTATTTACTTTTTAATAGCCAGAATCTACTTCTCACTATTGCTTGTCAATTTACTCTAAATCCTGCCATTATGCAAACGTATGACAATAAAAGATGCCTTTGTTCAATGGACGTAAGCTGAAAAGACCAGCCCAAATAATTACAAGTTACTGGGCACACTCCCATTAGCGCTCTTGTAAGGAAAAAAATGCCTTATTTATCTTCTGGCCTCACATGTGCTAAGATTCAGAATCACACAAACTGTCCTTTAAAACAAAACCCGGAGCTTCCTTAGTTGCATTCAGCATTAAAATGTTTTTGTGAGGTCTTTCAGGCAGACATTTGGCAAACTTTTCTCATATTTCCATAGAGATTTCAGAATAAGAGTTTGCACATTTCAGACAAATTCTGACACATTTATTTTTTATAATTATTAGTTTGCATTTCACCACACAGGATTTGTTCAAAATGCTGTCCAGCTGCTACTACACTGGCAGAGCTGCTGCTTAGAAGGACTGATGAATGCACACCCTTCCCTTTTCTCTGTAATTAGCATTATTGTCCAACAAATTAACATTTTTATGTTTTTGCAGACCTGTGAAAACTATTCAGAATTCTGTTGCTTTGTTCAGAACATTTCAAATAGTTAATTTCATTTCTAGTTCCTAAAGTCATTCATTCATTCATTCATATATTCTAGCACCAGCAGACTGGCTCCACAAATCATAAAATATCACTGCTGTGGTTGTGATGGCCATGGTTAATAGTTATCTCTGCAGTTAGTTTTCCAGTATTTTGGGTCCTCAGCAGATGCTGCAATTTGTGATATTACAGCATAATCACTAAGTATCAGTTGCTATCTTGCTGATTTAGGTCTTGAAGGAGACAGGGGAAATTTTGTTATTTCCAGCCAGGCAGACTTTGTCTTTCCAGCAAATGCATAAGTAGGTGTGGCACATCCATTCTTCAGACATGCCCAGACTAGCAAAGGAGTGATTGATGGATCTTCTTCTTAACAGTTGGCTGTTGCCTGCGTGTTATATCACGAGTCACGCAAGAAGCTACAATCTCATTTCATTTGAAACATCTCCAACTTCTATAAATCCCGATTAAGTAATGTCAATGTTTTTGCTACATAGAGCAAGACTGGCATACTGGCTGCATGAGATACTCAAATATTCATTTTCATGTTTTTCTTCTTTCAGAGATACACCACATTATGCTGGCAAAAGCCTTTTGAGAATTGGAATACCACTTTCAATTGTAGCATATATCTTGCAATAGAAGACAGCAAACTTTTCCTATATTTCTTAGTCTCCAATGTGCCACTCAAAGAATCAAATCAGAACTTTGCTTCAAAAGCCATTTGCTGTACAAGAATATCCTTCTCTGCTGTACACTGTACACAGCAAGGGAATGTCTTAACAATATATTTCAAGACAAAATTCTCCAATACGTTAGGCATATTGTCTCTCAGAGAAATTAGCTCTGTGTTTCTACTTCTTAGAGCACAATCTGAAAACGGAATATTAGAAATTATTTGGAAGAGGTGCTTTCAAAATCTGTAGAAAAACCCACCCAGCATTCCTTTAAATCAGCCATACTTTCAATGTAAATCTAAAAAATGAGAGCCATCTTGAATTGTTGTCATCATCATCATCATCAGTGGGTAATCTATAGTGTATAGTTAGATACACAGTCTAAGAATGTGGAAGCTTATTAATTTATATCCTAACCAAAGACCTAAGAATTATTAAGGTAGCATCTGAGAATATAGGCATTATTATATAGGCATTATATTATGGGCATCATCATTATTTGCAATGCTATTAAACTAGCTGTTTTTAAACTATTTTCATAGAATAAATATTTCTGGGATCAATAAGCTAAAGAATTTGGGGACGCCTTGCTCTAAATGAAGTCTTGGAGCTTTCTTGTCAATGTATGTATCCTTCAAAAATAATGGTATCTGATAATTCAGATGGTATCCACACACTCTCCACTTTCCACAGCTGACTAGCCTGGCTGAATTCCTCTTGAATAATCAGGTATCCCTCTCACCAGTTTAGCTAGTAGGGAAGATCTGCTTTACTTTTCTGTACCAGTTTCCAAGAAAATTTGACTGGAATTCATACCATCCCATTCTCTTTCTCCAGCAAATCAAGAGAAGGCAACAGATGTTGCATCACCCACTTTGTTCCAAATGCTTCCATTGCACAAGCCTGATGTTTCCAAGCTTATGTCTCCAGTGGCCCATGTTAAATCTACTTTTAAAATATTGACAGAGATTAATAAGCATCATTGTCTGCTTTTGTAATATACTCCTACTTCGTTATACTGACATCAATTCTGACATTTGCTCAGTGTTGACGTTCCAAAAGCTCAACCCTATTGGAAAAAAAAAAAGCACATACTTCAAAGCACTAGTTGGATCTGAACAACATTTATCCAGCTGCCATGCCAAATGCAATCTGCAAACATTCATGGCAAGAACTTAAAACAAAATTTGGATAGTTTAGTAGCGATGATGCTCTACCTAGTCAATATGTATTGGATGAACTCAACGCTAGCAAATAAAGATTTATTGCTCCTGAAACATAGGGCTCAGTGTAAGGAAGCACAAGCCTCATCAAGTTCACCAAAATGAAATTAAGATTTGCAAAATGTGACTTCCCCGTATTCTAAGCCCCCTTTGGGAGAACTTGGCAAGTCTGTTCTGCTATTCTGCTACTTGGGTCAGTCCCAAAGGAGGAAAGCTTCTGTTCAGAGAATTTTCTTTCCAAAAAAGTAGGGCTGAGCCTCCCAAGTCATCCATATGCCAGGAATTACATAGCAAGGAAACAAAAATCTACAGGGACCATAACTACCATGTTTCTCCGAAAATAAGACCCTGTCTTAATTTTTTTTGAACCCTGAAATAAGTGCTTGGCCTTATTGCCATGCACTCAAAAGCCCAATTGGGCTTATTCTCGGGGGATGTCTTATTTTGGGGGAAACAGGGTACTTCCATCACATTTCATTGTTGATCATGCATATGTATATAAGATTTGACATTTTAAGAGAAGACTTTTTTCCCTTTTTCAGTTGTTGATGGAATGCCATCAGTCTGTGTTGCTGCATTGTTGTCGACTTGGTTTTAAACTCAAGTGGCACTTTGCCATCAACATATGCCAGCTGCTTGTTCCAGAGCAATTGCTAGCTTAAAAATAGATAGGTGGGTTAGGAGACCAGGATTTTCTCATGCCTTACCTATATACAGGTAAGCAGGCCCAGGTAGACTAGGTTTCCCACATACCTGTTGTCTCTACAGAGCTTTCCTAAAGAAATCCTTGCATTTCATAAACAGTCCTTCAATAAATATTCAAACATTTAATTCAGCAAACTGGTCCCCAGGAATTCACTTAATCTGGAACTTCACAATCAACCAGATGGCAGTGAAATGCTACTGCTCTTCAATGACAAGTAAGCCAAGACATTGTATCATCTGCTCAGTTTTCAGAAAATGTCAACATATTGGGAAATACACCGATCTGAAGTTTACAAATGCACTTGGTAAACTGATAAAATATAGCAAGATTCACAACTGCTATAAGTAAGTTCTCTGATCCAACTGGATGAGAACCTTAACATCTCAACTGTACTGTGACTGGATTTACACAACATGCTGAGCATGAGTGTTCACTATAGTTTCTTGATTAAGTCTCAATTGGCAAAATTTGCACAATGTACTAGACAAAAAGAAAATCTTTTTGCCTAGGTTTAATTCATTGTCTAAAAATTGAATCATGATAATGAAATTCAAATATATAATTTTGGTATTTGAATGGCCTATCATTCGCTTTATCTTTCATATATGCCTATGCATGTAAATGTGCATGTAATATTTTTAGTTCTATTGTTTACTTGTTATTTTTTTCAATATTTTTAATTTGTTCTTTTTAATCTTTTCTATACATTTTTAGTTTTTAATTTGTTTTGTTTTTATTTATTTTTTTCTATTTGTATTTTAGGTAATTTACAATACACACAGGGCTAGCCATAATACAGATAGTCTTTGACTTACAACCGTTAGAAGTTACAACAGATCTACCTGGGGGCTACTTACGTCTTGGGTTCAAAGTTCTGATGGTCACCCCTCTCATTGTCATTTGACCAAATTTTGGGCACTTGGCAATTGGGCCACATTTATGGCCATTTACGGCATCCTGCAGTTGTGTCAGTACATTTTATGATGCTTTTGCCATAAAACTAACATATACTTCTAGTTTTCAGCAAAACTGTGCCCCTTGTGAACCATTGGTTCACTTAATGACTGAGGAGTTAATTTAATGACCATGGTGATTGCTTTGCACGCTTAACAACTGGCACACAAAAAGTTGTAAAATCAGGTCAGTCATGTGACCAACTGATTGTCAGACCTGCCTCAGCTTGAACCTCTATATAAGAACTATCCTTAACTCCATTTATCGAGAAAGGTATAGTTTACTAGAAGTCAAGTGAATTACAGTAATGCGTAGTCAGAACTGAAAATCGCACACCAAAACCGCCAAGTCTAACTTCTCCTCTCACTTAGTTGCCTCCCATCACTGCCCTCCCCCCATATCCAATCAAATTCAAATAGGATGTTTTTAGAACGGTCACTTCAGGCGTAAATTTGGTATGCAGCTGCTTTCCATTCCCAGCCGATTGTCCTTGAAGCTCATCTCGGAGACATATAGTGAAGTTTCAATTCCCTAGAAGCATCCCTCCTCCCATCCATCCCCTCCCCCCCTCATGGCAGCTGATACTGAATGCTTATGAAGTACAAGCGTGAGGTGGCAGCTGACACCCGTTTTATGACCGTCATGACTTACAATTGTGATGGGCAGGCTTCCTTAAGGTCATGAGTTGAGGACTCCTATGTGGAGGTGAAGTACAAAAATTTTTCTACCTTATAATAAGCCACAGACAAAGGAGAGGTTAGGGAAGACTGATTTATCTTTTTTTTAAAAAACCAAGCATTTCTTTGATTTGGTCTCAATAGTTTCTCTCAATCTATGCTCCTCTAGATGTAGTTGGACTGCAGCTCCCAGACTTTCACTCAGAAGTAATCCGATGAAGGAGGGTTGGAGAACACCAGTAGAGATGCATGTTTTGAAAATGTGTCCTAGCATTTTAAATCATCTGACATGGCTATGGTTTCTCTTGGGGATCAGAAATCCAACATAATCGACCATTGTTAAGATGGCAGCAACATATCACCTGGTTTTTATTATTTCCCTTCACTGCATCATATCAGCTTAGTATCACCTATCCTGGACAAAAACAACAGAATAACAGAGTTGAAAGGGACCTTGGAGGTCTTCTAGTCCAACCCCCTGCTCTAGCAGGAGACCCTATATCAGTGATGGCTAACCTTTTTGCCGTCGCGTTGGGAGTATGTGTGTGGGGGGGTCACGTGTGTGAGTGCCCACACCCATAATGCAATGCTCCCGCGAGCTCCTGCCCCCCCCCCGCCCCCCCGAAGCCCCCCGGGGCCCAAAAAGGGGCCCCGGGGGGGGGTGCCGCCCCCCCCCCCCCCCCCCCCCAAGCATGCATGGGGGGCCCCCCCCCACCCCCCATGCATGCGTGCGCGTCTTCCGCAGAGACCCAAAAATCTGGTGGGAGGCACATGTGCATGCACAGTGGAGCTGAGCTGGGCGACGGCTCGTGTGCCCGCAGAAAGGGCTCCGAGTGCCATCTGTGGCATGTGTGCCGTAGGTTCGCCATCACGGCCCTATATCATAACAAATAACAAAGAAATAACAAAAAAAGACCATCTCTGGTCTTGGTGCAGCGTCCACCCAATGCATCCCTTTGCTGTGTACAGTAATACAAATCCCAAGGTGTTTCACTTTGCTAGGAATCACCTGCAAGTAGCATCACTGCTTTGGTTTGTGAGAAGGCTCCCGCACATTCAACATGCACTTCAAGGTAATAATTTATGCTTGAAGAGGAAATAATGGAGAAAGTTCTTATGCTTGATTTCTCACAGGCAGGCATGAATAAGGCCACTTATAAGAACTTGTCAAGTGCTTTGAGCTGTATGCAGCACTTTCTGTGAACACACTGTCCCTTTTGATAAAACTCTAACACAAAGAGCTTACACTGAATGTGGAGCTTTTTATCATTCTCAAGGACATTTCAGGTATCCCTAGAAAGCCCCTCATAATTTGAAAGGTATGCAGTAAGAAGTAAATAAGAAAGAGAGAGAGAGAAATCAGTGACCTCACAAACATCACTTGAAATGCTTTCTTGAAATCTAGGAAAGTATAGAACTAATTTTAACCACAGTCCAGCTCTATCCAATGAATACATCCCAATGAATTGAGTAATACTTTTCAAAAGTCAATATGCAGAAGAGTGGAGCGCCAATTTTCTTATTCTTCATTAGAATAATAAATAGCAAGGTGGCTTCATTTACAAATAATCCTAAGAATAATGTGACTTCACACCTGAATCACATGTTGCCTATCTATTATATATTTTGAGAAATGTGCAAATTTAAATTCAATCAGACCAGGAAAAAAATATTGAGATAATTAACTTTTTAACATACAATTCAACTGACAATAGATGAGCATTAATTCGTAAAAAAAGAAATTTTCTCGGCTCTTTCTAATCTTTGTTTATTAGCACAAAGCTCCTTTCTTTCTCCTGCTTTGGCTTGAATTACCCATGATATCATCATAAAACCAATAAATAAATGCCCCAGAGGAACGTATTATTCAGAAAGTTTTAGAGTGTGCCGAAATGAACAAATTAACGTTAGAATTAAATGAAAAAGAGGATTCAGAATACTATATACTGTGGGATGATTGGTATAAGTGGATTGATAACCGAATAAAAAATAGATGAAAGTTAATATAAATTTTAAGATATATATATGTACCTGGAACTATGAAACATAAAGGAAGAATTCATCTAACCTGTGTGGGAAAGTAACACTGTCTGACTGACCGTATTGTATTGTATTATAATAAATTTCAATAAACTAAAAAAAAACCCAATAAATAAATAATTTTCTCACTAATTATTCAACTTGGAGCACTTGGCATTTTATTACCCAGACCTTTAAAATTATGTATACGTGCCAAATAAAATGTATGAAGTTTACTTAGTTATTTAAAACATCATGTACTATTCTTCACCCTGTGGCAATTGACAGGATTCACATAGCACTGAAAAAAGGGACTTTTGCAAGTAAAATGAGGCCACTATTCAAAACAAATGCAACTAGCCAAGTTTAAATCTAAAGAAAATAACAGTGTAACCTGGCACTGAAAATAATTATGGGCTTGCATCATAGCCACATAGACTTTTGTTAATTGTTGATATGGGGGGGGGGGGGGGGAGTGAGAGAACTTTGCAGAAGGGACAGAGATTTATTATATATGGTACAGGTAGTCCTCAATTACGACTACAATTGAATCCAAAATTTATGTTGCTAAGTGAGAAATGTGTAAGTGAGTTTTGTCCCATTTTATGATTTTTCTTGCCACAGTTGCTAAGTGAATCGCTACAGTTGTTAAATTAGTAACATGGTTGTTAAGTGAATCTGGCTTTTCCATGGGCTTTGCTTACCAGAAGATCGCAAAAGGTGATCATGTGACCCAGGACACTGCAACTGTCATAAAAATGAATCGGTTGTCAAGTATCCGAATGTAAATCATATGGCCATGGGGATGCTACAATGGTCATAAGTAGAGGTGGATTTCAGCAGGTTCTGAGCAGTTCTGGAGAACCGGTAGCAGAAATTCTGAGTAGTTCAGAAAACCGGTAGTAAAAATTCTGACTGGCCCCGCCCCCATCTATTCTCTGCCTCCCAAGTCCCAGCTGATCAGGAGGAAACGGGGATTTTGCAGTATCCTTCCCCTGGAGTGGGGAGGGAATGGAGATTTTACAGTATCCCTCCCCTGCCATATCCACCAAGACATGCCACACCCACCAAGCCACACCCACAGAACCGGTAGTAAAAAATTTTGAAACTCACCACTGGTCATAAGTGTGGGAAATGGTCATAGGTCACTTTGAATAGTCACTAAATGAACTGTTGTAAGTCAAGGACTACCTGCACGTGTGTACAAAGATAATTAAATAGTGTTTGGGGGCAGGACTGAGAAAAAAATTAGATTACACTGCTTTAGATGAATACTCCATCCAATGCAATGTCACTAACAGGCTGGAACAGTGAAATGCCATTTTCTTTTACTATGGTGCTGGGTGAAAATAGGGTATTCAGAGGCCTACATTTCCTTGTTTTCTTTGTCTGTCTTCATTCCATTTTTCTTTTCTGTTCTCCCATTTTAGACTGTGTTACCTTGAAATTCACAAGCCTGTGAGCATTCAAAGATCTTTCAGGCTGAGAAGCAAGGCATAAATATTTGAAAGTGGGTTGTAAGTGCTCTAAATAATAAACAAGTCTCTGGGTCAGTTCTCAAAACACAATCAAGTTGTTTCATGACAGCTCGGAGCCCAGCTGCTCCTCCCCCTGTGCGTTCGTGCATTATGCCCAAGTGTCATTAAAGGCTGAATAATCGAATAATTGCCTTGGAAGCATGACTCAGTTCTTGCAGCAGCTTTCCTCCCCTCCCCCCATGCTAATTTCTTCTACTGTTTATCTGCATAAACATCTCTGTGCCCTGTTACTAGGCATTCCTCCCTTCATTTATTTTGTTTTGACATAAGTGGAGCCTTCCCTATAAAGTTGATACATAGCAATAATTATAAAAGCAATAAATAGATTATAATATATACAGTAAATGCAGTTCCAACAGCCATAGCCTAAAAGTTCATTTTAGATCTCACCATTACACTCTGTTCTCAATAAAAACATTAAAGATAGGCATCAAAAATCAACCAAGGTTAGAAATACCTTAGTGAGACATCTTCTTGTAAAGGTTCTGATGACTTTTTAAGGAGGCTCAAAACTGAACCAGTAACCAACTCTATTGGCCGCTTTCATGATGTAATGATCAGCTCCAGGCCTATAATCAACAACAACAAAAAACCCCTCCCCCAATAATTCATTATTAACCCTTCTTGTTTGTTTGTTTGTTTGTTTGTTTGTTTGTTTGTTTGTTTGTTTATTTATTTATTTATTTATTTATTTATTTGTTCAATTTATATGCCGCCCTTCTCCGGAGACTCAGGGCGGCTTACAATGCATTAAACAATAGCCTTCATACTTTTGTATATACCTGCTTAGTAGGGCTTTCGCCCCCCCCCCCCAAAACAGTGTTCTTTTTTATACAAAGTCAGCTTATTGCCTCCACAAACCGGGTCCTCATTTTACTTACCTCGAAAGGATGGAAGGCTGAGTCAACCTTGAGCCTGGTGAGATTTGAACTTGCAGTAATTGCAGGCAGCTGGTGTCACTTAACAGTATTTTAGTCTGCTGCGCCACCAAGGCTCATGGTGTTATGCCTCAGTTACGCCTCTAGTTTTCTCCTGTCCTGCTTTTTATGCTTAATAGCACTCTAGTTAAAAATTCCCTTATACAACATGATTCCAAAACAAACCTACTAATAAATCCTCTAATTCAATTTACAAATGAAGACTGTACACTTAGTCATTTAAAAGTTCCCTCTATCTCACTTACTGCTTTTTTTTTTTTAACTATAGAGGCTTGACTCGTCAATTAATTGCATTTTGTAATGGTCTCCACATTACAAAAAAGGTGTTGAGACTTTTGGAAAAAGTGCAAAGAAGAGCAACTAAGATGATTAAAGGCCTGGAGATTAAAACATATGAAGAAGGGTTGCAGGATTTGGGTTTGGCTAATTTAGAGAAAAGAAGGACTAGGAGGGACATGATAGCAGTATTCCAGTATTTGAGAGGTGGGCACAAAGAGGAGGGGGTCAACTTATTTTCCGAAGCACCAGCAGGCAAGACAAGAAACAACGGATGGAAACTAATCAAGGAGAGAAGCAACCTGGAACTAAGGAGAAACTTGCTAACAGTGAGGACAGTTAACCAGTGGAACAGCTTGCCATCAGAAGTTATAGGTGTTTCATCACTGGAGGTTTTTAAGAGACTGGACAGTCCTTTGTCTAAAATGGTTATAGGTTTTCTGCTTGAGCAGGGGGTTGGTCTAGAAGACCTCCAAGGTCCCTTACAGCTCTATTCTGATCGATTTAGCTTCTGATTAATCACCAAACAAATGGCCATTGCAAAGAAATCTGGTGTCTGTTTTTTTTTGTTTTGTTTTGTTTTTGTTTTGTTTTTTTTGAGGGAAAAAATCCATGAACTGAGCTCTTCCTGTTTTGCATCAACTGCCTGAGCTTCCAGCAGTTTAATATTGTCTCTGTGCTGTTAAAATTATCATAATGGAAAGAATCCCATGATCAATTTCTAAAATATTTAGACAAATAAGAAAGCCTACCTGGAGAAGGAGTTGCAAAGAAAAAAGTTTTGGTGATACTAGCTATGGCAACTAAATCATTTTTTAAAATTTTTTTTACTTTACTGTATTTCACCATTTTTCTCTTCAAAACAGCCCAGGGGAGTATAATTTTTTCAGAATACCCAAACAAGGAAGTTTACATTGAAGAAAGCAGATGGGCTGAATTGAACTTACATTTCTGAATATTCACACATCCAACATTTGCCAAGTTTTCTCTGAAAACTATAAATATTGAATATCTTAGCTCTGCTGCCATGTTTTGTTTTGGCAGGCACTAAATGTAAAAATCCTTAAACTCTCCAGTTGTCAAACACTAAATATTATCCCCTGCCTTCTTTCAAACACTCAGTATCATTGCATACTGACTATCAAATGCTGTAATCAAGTTACAAAGGCATGCATCAAGTATCATCAATGAACATCAAGTGTGGATAACTTACATTTAAAATAGACTTAAACTCTGTCCCATTAAGTATTTGGCATCAATTCTTGCAAAGCAAAACTTTTGAAAACCTAATTCTCATTAGCCAATTTCCAAAAACAGTAGTAGCTTGAAGTATAATGAAGAAGGAAGAGCATCTTTGCCTATGCCAATCCTCCTCTTACAAAGAAAAGTAAATCTCAACAGTATTAATGTATCTACCAGCTATCTGATAGTTCTTGAAAACATCAAATTACAGGTGTTTAATTCCTCCCTTGGGGACCTTCTGACTGCAACTCTGATGTACAAGAAGCAATTCAATAACATTTCAATCATGTCTCAAGCAACAGAGCCATCAGGAGTGTTCATAGCAGCGAGTCAAAAATGTTAAGATAGTGGTTGCATCAGTTCATTTTATGTAAAAGGTCAGGATTTGATCCTATGGTTGTGTCCATCTTTACTTTTCTCACCCTCTCTTTGTGGACACTCTTAAGAGCCATGCTCCACCAGACATTTCTGCCATTGTTACTATCAAACCCCTCTTGGAGCATATTTACTGGAATCATGACTAAACAAGGATATAAGCCGTAGGATATGTTTGAAAGTGGAAGCATGGACTGCTGCAAAGCATTCTACAGAATTACCAAAAGATGACTGGTGTTGTAGATATCAATGATGACTGCAAACCCAAAAATCTAAGGTATTTGTACCATTGTGTTGGTTGTTCTTGCCTGTTAAGAAGTTTAAAGGCACTGTTTGTCTTAATGATTTTTAAATCAGAAGTATGTCTCTTGCAAACAAAGTGATGCAATGCATACTATTTTTGACCTCCGTGACTTCAATGTTATATGCAGCCCTCAGAGAAGGGTTTATTTATCCATTTATTGCCCTAAGTGTATGTAATTATATTCTACACAAAATATAAAACCATCTGCAATCTTAAAAGTAGCAACACGTTAAACCATCAAAAAAAAATATGAAACTATAACAGCTGACTTAAACACACATAAAAACGCAGGAAAGAGAAACACTGTATGTATCTGTTTTTAATCAAAGAAGCCAGATTTCGATCTTTGCTATTGCTGTAATGGCATAGGATCCTATAGGGAGAATCCTACAACCTCAGTCTTATGTTAATAAGGGTCCTCCCTAAACTTTTATTCAATAGCACAAAGTCAAAATCTTTAGATACAACAGGATGTCTGTGCATGAACAACAGCAAGTTGTATACACATATCACTATGTTACTAATTTGTGCTGATGCTAGAATTTACTCATTCTTTGCCAAGGAATTTGGCCAAATGTAGGGCGCAGTTTCCTGAACCTTCTGCACTTTAATTAGCAACTTATTTATGTAAGTACTATTCCTGTTACTCATCTGGCTATGAATCTTTTTGAAGTTATCAATGCATGAAAAGAAGGTATAGGTTCTCTTATTGTGATACCCTGTTGTTGTTGGCAAATTTAATGAAATGTGATTTTAGAAACAGTACATGTAGTTCTCGACATACGACCATTCGCTTAGTGATCATTCAAAATTACGATGGATCCCGAAAAGCTACTTTCAACTTGATTTCAAACTTATGACAGCCCCTCCCCTCCCCACACACAAACACGCTGCAGTTACATGGTCGCATTTGTGCATTACTGGGCACTTGGTAACCAGCTCATCTTTACGGCCATTTGCAAGGTCCTGCAGTCATGTAACCATGATTTTCAATGTTTTTTTGACAAGTTTCTGGCATTTGGTTCCAGGTTCCAGCAAAAAAAAGCCCTTCAGGTGAAATGGATTTCATTAATGACTGTGGCATTGGCTTAACAACTGCTGCAAAAAAAGGCATAAAATTGAGTCTGTCTGGTCTCATGATGACCCACTTAACCAATGCAACAATTTACAACCATAATTCCAGGCTCAATTATGGTCATAAGTCAAGGACTACCTGTAAAAGGCAAACTAAAAGACGGAAAGGTCAAACTAGGACTGAACAGATAACCAACTTAAAGTATGCAGAATGTGGTTTGAAACCACAGCAGCTTTCAAAGTGTGCAGCATGTTTCTTTTCTTATGGGGCTGTTATTATTACTAACAAACAAAAGAGTGACACAGAATGTAAGCTGTTGCTGCCATAGTATTACGCCAGTTTCAGTTATTCAACAGTCTATTGAACAACAGTCTAGCATTCCATTGCAACATCCAGTTTATTTACCTGATTCTAATCCTTCCTCCATTTCTCTCCTTAACACGTTTCTGATGGGAGTTTGTGTATGTGCATGTCTGTGTTTGCACATGTGCACATATATCTGTGATTTTAGTTTCTGTGCACTACTGAGTTATGTTTCTGCCAATTTCTGCAACATCATAGCTCTTCCCCAGTGGTATTAGTTTTAAAGCTGAAGGACTTGTTTTTCAACATTTTCCCCACCTTCTCTTTTAACTCCAGGGAGGGAAGATTTGCACACAGGAAAGAAGTTGCATCCCATTGACAGCACTATTTAAACCAGGGGTCTTCAACCTTAGCAACTTTAAGACTTGTGGACTTCAACTCCCATAATTCCTGGGAGTTGAAGTCCACAAATCTTAAAGCTGCTAAGGTTGAAGACCCCTGGTTTAAACAGACTAAGTGTGGGAAGACATGGCAGCTCGCTGATTGTGGCTCTATCAATATCTGCAAAAGCACCACAATTAAACAGCAAAACTAGCCCTTTATTAAACTATGCAACCCACTCCTCATAACCCTTTTATATGAATATATTAATTATTTAGGCACATCAAACCATTCCCTTGTGAAGTTCTCAAATACATTAAAGGTAACATCCCTTTCATTCTGAACTTGACTCCTGATGCCTTCACTGGTAGCAGTACAGAAACAATCTCCCACTAAGATCTTCCAAGATTTTTTTTTTTTTTACTTTCCAATCTAGCCTCCAGTCCTGATATCCCCTAGAGTTCTCCCATACAATTATTAATCAGGCCTGACTCTACTCAACTTTTATGAGATCAATCAGGGTCAGTTATATGCTGCCACCTACTGGTATACATTGTTAACAGAGGATACTTCAGTACTTTAGCTCTAAGTATAACCAATAATTACATTTTCTGATAAATATCTAAAGTAATTAAGTATTCCAATAAACAATAGATAGACTCATATGAGGCCATCTGAGAAAATGCCCCAAAGACATATGCTTTAAAGATTTAAAGGTTGAGTTGAACTTAACCCTTATTGTCACGATAGCTTTATCATTAGTCTTTTCTATTGTTCTCTAACAAAAATGAATGGAATGTTAGTCAGCTCACTCTAAAGCATAGACTGGAGATTAATTGCATGATACTGGAATCTGGAGACTTCATTGCTTTCCTCCCATGATAATCCTTGAAGCTGTTGGTTGGTTGGTTGGTTGGGTTGCTGTTTACGTTTTGTGAAGTAGTCTCTTGAAATTCAGGTTCTGGGGCAACTATGACAACTTTATGACCCGTGAACTTCAATTCCCAGAATTTCATGTTGGCTCAAGAATTCTTGAAGTTGAAGTCCACAGGTCCTAAAGTTGCCATAGTTGCCCACCCATAATATAGGGTTTCCTGCTTGAAGAGGGGGTTGGATTAGATGATATCCAAGCTCCCTTCCAATTCTGTTATTCTATTGTTATTCTGTTCTCCTGTGTTCTGTTATTCAAAAGATCACGGTGGAGGAAGAGAACAATCTCTTTAAAAATGTCAGCATCCATGTTTGTATTTTATCGTTCAACACTAAGCAATCATTCAAGATCAATGTATCTGATATTACCTAACTCTTAATTCCCTATTTGCTGCTCTCCTACATTCTCACAGTGTGTTTTGAATGTACACTTCTCTTCCTATTAGATTATGCACTGTGATCTAGATCTTGCAAGGATTCCTTGAAATCACTTTGATCAAGAAACAAAGCAGCATCCTAATGTTCAGGATATCTTTTCCTCAGGAGGATTTAAAGTAAATGAGAGTATAATACCTTTAAGCATCCAGGTGAGCTGGAGCCCAAGTAAAATACCCGAGTGTTTAAAAGCCTTCATATATATGGCAATGATTTAGTACTGCATCAGGTCTCAGCCTGGTGTCCTCAGATCCTGGGATTACAGAATGGCTACAATTCCCATACATATCCAAATTATTTCATTAACATGTGTAATACACAATACAGTCAGAGCAAGTATATGAGCTAAGATAAACTTCTGGATTAAACAACTCTCACCTCAGTTTTGAATTTACTAGCTAGTCATCAGGCCAAACAGTAGCCATAAATTTCCATTTTCTTTACCCGGTTTCCACTTCTGCAACAATCCATATAATAGAGATGTCCAACCTTATCTTATCCTTCCCAGAACCTTCTATCCCAGCAAAAAATTAAAGCAACATTTTGCTTCTATAGTTTAAAAGTTTTCAAAAATGTTACACCATCATGCCCTTGCATAGATGGAAAATATCTAAAATGGGCACACTTTATAAATGTTCCAGCAAGATGTGGGCTTGTGTTTTGTTATTGTTGTTGTTGTTTTGTTTTGCCTTCTTATATTTTGGAAGATAAACAGTACCACTGATAGGTGCTGCAGATGCTAAGATACCAGGTGATGCTTCATTATGGTTTACCTTACAACCTATACATTGGTTCTGAAAAGCTTAGGTGATAATATATTTGTTAGTCTTGAAGTGAGTTTTATTTCTTTACATCTCAATAAGCCCTGACTACATTTCCAGGAGCAGACTTGCAAAGACAATCAGTTTGGTCTAGTTGTTAAGTCCCCAAAAACCAGGAGACTGTACATTCTAGTCCTGCCTTAAGCATGAAAGCTAGTTATTATGTATTTTATTGAATAGCCCGAAGGCCTTCCCCCCCCCCCCCCCAAAAAAAAGAAAGGGAAAGATAAAACAAACAGTTACAGAAATAACAGTGTAAAAATATATGGTATATGACATTAAAATTTAACAATATCGAAGTTCAATAACTAAATTTCCAAAACTAGATAACCCAAATAAGATAGCTCCTCTCTAACTCAGCTCATCTTTCTTACAATCAATGATGAAAGCTAGTTGGGTGACTTTGGTCCAGTCACTTTCTCTCAACCCAACTCACCTCACAGAGTTGTTGTTGTGGGGAAAATAGAGAAAGAAAGAAGTATCAGGTATGGTTGCAGCCTTGAGTTATCTATAAGTATAATAAAGACAGGATAAAAAATCTAATCTATAATCTAATCTAATCTAATTATCCAATATGTTCTATGCAAGCATGAATATCCACATGTATGGGATGGGAGGTTTTTTGAACACAGAAACTATTTGCAAGAGACCAAGAACTAATTCTGAGGCAGGATTGCACTACTATCTTAACCCCATCAATGAACAGCAGTGTCACACATAGTGGGATATATAAATATAGCTTTTTCCCCTCCACACCTTTATTCTAATTTTGCATTTAATATTCAAACTGTGTCAGGTCATTAAGTTTGAGTACTTTCCCTGGGGCAATGTTTGAGCTGTAAAATACTTTGGCTTTGGGCTGTTTGAGCACTATAATTAAACCTTAGATTTTTATCAAAGCTAAAAGATGACAGCAATAGATAAAAACCCAACTCCTTCTGAACAATTCATAGTTGAATGACTGTTGTGTCAACATTCTGTAAATGCTATTGAGAAATGACATGCGGAGCACCACATTCCTTAGCCAGCCCTTCTGTCTTGTTTTCTTTGGAAAGAAAAAGGGGAAAAAAAGCAAGTGTAACAGCTAGTTGCTCATGAAATTTGGTTTTAAAAACATGATTGGCCTCCCTGCTTTTCAAGTTTGTAGAATTCACATTTAGGTAGGTCTTAAATTTAAGTCCACAAGCCAAAGCTAGCAATAACAAGCAAAGAAGGTTATACATTTGGCAAGCATATCCTGTGGTACAATTTGGGTTTAAAATCCTGACTAAAAGACTGAGCCTTGGTAACCTGAATGGTCTATCATGTTTACAACGCCATTAAAAGCTATAAATAATGCAGGGTAAAACACATCACTTTCTACCCTAGTGCATTTGAACATCTTGGTTTTGATTGCTTTACATCAGGGGTGTCAAACTCGATTTCATTGAAGGCCGGATCAGGGTTGTGTTTGAACTTGAGGGGCCAGGCTGGGCGTGGCCAGGGTGGGCATGGCCAGCTCGACGTCACTCATGTCAGAGGCACCTGTGGTGACCTGAGCACTCTGCCAGCGGAAATGGGCTCCCGAGCTCCATTTTCAGCTGCCATGGCCTCCTGCAACCCACTGCCAGTGAAAATGGAGCTTGAGAGGGCTACACACAGCCCTCCTGAGCTCCGTTTTCACTGGCAGAAGCACTGCAGGCCAATCCTTTGCTGTTTCCAGGGCAGCCCCATGGGCCCCATGGATCCAGCCCCTGGTCCTTGAGTTTGACACCCCTGATTTACATCATTTCCGCAACGAGCCCTTTACGGCAAAGCACCTGAAGTCATTGTTTTGCCTAGGAAAGCTCTAGGTTTGATTTTCAGCATCTTCCTGCAAAATGAGAAAACACCATTTCAGATAGACAATTGGTAACTAGGTGGACCAAGAGTTTGCCTTGGAACAAGGCTGCTTTCTCTGGCAGCATAATGGCCATCACCACAGTTCAAAATGCCCTCCTGTCATGAACATGCTGGAGAGTTTTAGACATAGTGCAGTCTGTCCTATCTCTACTATGGGAAAAACAGAAAACACTTGTTCTAAGTGGTGCTCATTAAGGAACTGTACAACCCAAGACATTAGGGTTGGTTTAATCCTCTCCCCAAACTTTATGCTGGAATATTTGTTTTTCTGTTTGGTGCCTCCTCCCTAGCAAAATTTGTTATAAGACGTCCTGCACCTCTAACGTCCTCTTTTCTATAAATCTTCCCAGAATAACTAGGTGTATACAAATTCCCATTCGTTTTTATAGCCTATTGACTGAAAAGAAAGGCAAGTCCTGTTTTGCCTTCAGCAAATATTTTCAGCAATGATGCCTGGACCAAGTATTTGCCCTTGACAAGTGAGGCGTGCATGGTGGAAGTTGCTCCTCCAGAATCCCTCCAGGCCACTACTGGATGACTACTCATTCTCACATCTCCTTGCCTCATGGCTGGCATAGCATCCACATTGATGTACGGAAGTGTTTATTTGGAGGTTTTGCTTAAGGTGACCAGACGTCCCGCTTTTGGCGGGACAGTCCCGCTTTTGAGCAATTTGTCCCGCGTCCCGCGGCGTTTTAAAAAAGTCCCGATTTTTCATTCTGCCTCCTGAGTCCCGGCTGCCTCCTGAATCCCCACTGATGGCTAGAGGGAAAAAAAACTCTTTAAACTCTTGCCGCGGGGCTTTAAAGGGCCGACCTACAGCTGATCAGTGTTAAAAAAAAATGAATAGACCCATGCCTGCAAAAATAGAAAAAACAGCCCCTGTTAACAGCTTCCGCTAGGTTAATTAGCTGCAAAAAGCTGCAAAAAGTTCCTGGAGCAGATTTTTTCCCCCCTAGCTATACTGAAAACAAAGGCGAAAGCGAAACTAAACCTGCAACGTGACAAAATGAGGCAGAGAGAGATTTCTTTCTTTTTCTTTTTCTTTTTCCTCACCAAAAAAGGTAGGTACAAAACTGCAAACAATGGGAAATTTTGGGCAAAAGAGGAGAGTTCAAGATTTTAAAACACAAAAGAAAAAAAGCTCTATTTAACTAGGGAATTGTAATAATTGAGATACTATTAATAATTGTATATTGTGTTGAAAGCAGAAATGGTTAAGTTGTGGTTTGGAGGAATATATGGGGGAAATTATTTGGTTTATTATTATTGGTAAATATAATTAATTGATTTGTAAGAAATTGGATTGCATGGAAATAATTGGAATATTCATGTTCATATTGATTAATATACAAAAAAGATAGTTATATAACTAATTGATTTATATTAAAATGTTGAATTTGTATTTAACAACTGTATTACATAATTACATAATTAACCAATGTGAGGATGGATATAAAAATAGATGACAATGGGAAGGGGTATAATATAGAATAGAAGGGAAAAATTGAATTTGATTAAGATTAGAGATGAGGATGAAGGGTAATATTGTTTTTTTAAAAAAAATAGATGAGGAATAAATATGGCAAAAAGGAAATATAGAAATTGTAAATTTAATTGAAATGACTAAACGCTGTTTAAATTTGTGAACCAGCCAAATATTCTGTTCAAAGAAAATACATTGTATGTTTGTATGTGTGTTTCTAATTATTGCCATTTATTCATATTTGTTCTCTTTTATTCTTTAAAGTTTAACAATTCATTCTTAATCTTAATATCTTTATATTTGCTTGGGGTTGGCTTTCTTCCCTTTCATCTTTTTTATTGTACAGCAA